TTATTTCACCTAATTTATTATCTGGTAACAATTTTCTGATTGTTAGATCTACAGTACCACCACCTATGTCTACTATTAGAAACGAAGCTATATCGATATCGATACGTATATATATAGAATGATATAAAAGTGTATTAGTCAGCATTTAGGATAATATAAAAATGTTAGGCAATATTTATGTTGCCGATTACATACACCCAGCTTTTGTCATAGAAAGTTCATTTAAATATCTCATACAATAAATCGCAGCAGCCTCAGCTATAAATAATTAACAAATATAATATTAATAATTATATCAAATAAATTTAAAATGGTAATATACATACGTACGTTCAGTTATAAACTTTAGATTAGGAGATGTTATCGATTTGATTAGCCTAGCATTAAAAGCACACTGCTTCATTATACCTTTCGTCTTTTCAGAGAATCCCACAGGAACAGTAAGAATAATTAATACATTTTTAAAAAAATTGATTTGAGGCCAACGAGTATCAATGGTTAATTTAACCAACTAGATGAATTTATCGGAAAAATTTTGTTAAATATATTAAACAAAAATATTATTTTTTAGCACGTTTATTACTTACATCACCTATTTATTAATCATAAAAATTTAAATAAGCGCATAAAGTTATTTATTCAGAAATCATTGTCTAGTATTTTTTATAAAATATATACCCAATTTGCAAAGATAATCAGTGATTGCTTTCTTATAATCTAATTCTTCTGGCAAAGGAGGCCTTTGATCTTCCGACATCTCTATCAAATGCAATTTAAATAATTCAACAGGTTTTGAATCATTGTTCTTTCGACGACTATATTTTTGTGCCAAAGCAGGAAAACCCCATAATTCAACATCTTGAAAACCATCATTATACTGTAAAACAGTGTTAGTTTTTAGTGGACCTGTCTGCCCAGGCCAAGTTTCATTAGTGATGATATCACTAGGACTTGCTATATGAGCATATGCAAATCCCTATTAAAGAGAAGTTATACCTAAAATATTATATAAAACAGTAAAGCAATTCTATGATATGTTATATAAAACTTTTTAAAACCCTTACCGAATATGTCGTACCAAAATCTAAATAAAGTTAAAGAAATTATTATTATTTTTGTTTTTAGATAAACCTAAGATACTTAAAGGTTCCAAACCTATCGAGCACACTACACGAATATCTTTTGAGGAAGAAGACATGTTTGATGTTACGAAATAAGAAAAGGCTGGATAAAAATGG